TATCTTCTATATTATATTAGGAATAATTATCTATTTAAATTATCCGTTCATATTTTTCAATCTTATTCTTATAATAGTATCATCATTTCACCTTTAAAGAACATTACTTGAGAATAATATTTGAAAAGAAATTCAAATAAAACTATTAATAAAAATTTCAAAAACAAAATGACGTAATAGAAAATTTAAATGTCAAGATTAACTCACAGCAGAGCAAAAGATCCAGAGTTCTATCTAACAACAGTTAATTATAATAAGAATAATGATGTTTCTCGAGAAGACAACCGTATTTCATAAAATAATCGCTCACTAAAGGAGTGCAACAGGTTCGGAAAGCTTGGTGTGATGGTAATCGAGAGATTAACGAATCGCGAAGTACTTTGATAGGATCCGAGTTAATCAGTAATCGGGGCTACGACACCATTAATCTTTCACTACTCTTCGGAGAATTCCATCTCTCTTTGTCATCCTTTTACACGCCACTTCCTCTCTTTGTTATATTCTCTCTTTTATATTCTCGCTTTGTGTTTATCCTCCTCTTCTGTTGCCATTTCACACCTTCACATCTTTTAGACTCTTTGTGACTATTCCACTATATGATGTTCCACATATCGTTTACATTTACATATTCAATGAATTATGTATTATCGTTTGTATCTACACCCACTTATACATAATTTATTCCAAGAATGATTAAATCCAAGATTACGTCGTATAGTTTTAATTAAAAAGAAAAGAATAAAACTAAATCTAGATTTTGAGAAAAATCGTTTAATAACATGGTTATGTTGCTTGACTTATTATCGTTTCACATATCATCCGATCTCATCGACATCATACTATACAACATGTTTGTCAATGTGGTGCTACCGCATCACACGAAGGTTGTCAATGCAACCAACCGTTTGCTCCAAATGGGTGACAGCTTACAGTTATATCAACCGTTATATAATAGCTACTGCTTCAGCGTGCATATGCGTTAGGTAAATAGCCAGGTAAATGAGCGGAGATGAGAGAGACAGAAGCGGCAACGGCTCTAAGCCTGCACTCGACGAGTAGTAGGCGTGCGATTGACGTTTAATTATTCGTTGCGCATTCGGACGCTTCGTTTCCTCTATAACACATATCCGAGTGAGTTTTCGTCGTTTCTCCGTTTTGACACGGTGACACACAGCAAGGGTTACCGGAGAAATTTGTACCGATTATGTTTTCGCCAACGTAATTACAACGAATTAATTCAAACAGATTGTCCGAGATTAACAGAATTTCAACAACGTAAAAGAGTTTTCAATATATCGCTAATATTCTAATTAAATTATTAATCAATTATTAATCATTTTTGTAAAGATCTTTTGATAAATTATATGTTAAGTTATAAGGTCAAGATTAAGTCTTATTGTGGATGTTTCCTGTCTGCAATGGCGGATAATTTCAATCGATTCCTGCGTCGCCTTCTGTTATTTACATATATTTGTCAGCCTCGCGAATTTCGCATCGTTATACAATTATTGCGAGCACTGTAATCAAATATTAATATATACGCTAATATTTAGAACAGTTAATGCATTTATTTAATAATATGAAATTCCCGTCCGTGACCGCACCGTAGTAGAATTTATGACTATTACAATTCCAGTTTCATAATAGTTCCAGTTTCGTCGTATTACTCGCATTATTTGTTTAAAATAAATATACAAGTAATTTTTTAAATTTTATTTCATAAAATAAACAAGTTAAAATTTAAGATGATATATTAAATATAATTTTATCGATATAACAGATAATTCAACATCGAGTCAACATTGATTAGATGTGAAATTATTAATCTGCATTCCACGAAAATAATTGGTTTTCACTGCTGCTGCTTATATTACGTAAAGATTATTTATACGTAATCAAATTCCATTTAATTGACTTGTAATAAATAATTGTAATTTCAATTACAAAGTTAATACGATTATTAAGTAAAATAAAAATCTTTTAATTTATCAGTCATTTATTAATAATATGTATAAACAACTTCCAAAACATTTCTGAAATTTTTAAATTAATCTTTATCTAATTTAGTAGATGCGTTTTGTTTTTACAGTCTTTCAATCGCTTATTATTGTATGTACAATTACGATTATGTAAAAACAAAGCTTTCGCAGATTGCTAATACATTTGATAAATGTATATTACTCCCTATAGTACCATTTATATATTGTTTTATCCTTTCGCATGGAACAACACCTACTAATCATACACACATACACGGTATTATCAACAACTAATCTATTATAACTATACAGAAAGCACAATAACGATGGTACCACTTCTCGATTCGTGCAATTCCAAGAGAAAGCCATTAAGCGCGATGATACGTAATACACGTACTAGATGCAATTGTAATTCCAAGCCACAATTTCGCAATGACAGCTTCTCCATGAATGATGACAAGGCAATAACTCGCGGGAGGATAAACAAATACGGATGTAACATCTGTATTGTACTCTCATTGTATCTACAACCGAATTAATAGGAAATAAGATGATTAAAAAAATCCCATAAATTAATTGGAATTATTATTAAATACTTTATATTTTATATTTTATATTTTATATTTTATTTGATATTTATTAAAATAGAAAGACGACCAATAAGCAGTATCTTAAAAGTTATATATCTTTGTTTGTTCAATTTTCAATGTAAAAACTAAATCAATACTAGCAGTAAAAATTCAACACGAGAATAAAAATCGGATATTTTCTCTGCAAAAACGTTTCTATCTTTTCAAACCATAGTAGAACTCGACAAACAGACATTCAACGAAAACCGCGAATATGAAAAGCCATAGGTTTGAACGTTTCATAAATAGTAACGGTGTTGTAGCGCGTGAGAAAGACCTGTCGTCGCCGCGCACGAATCCAAATTGCAGTTGCCGGCATTTGCACACATCTATCTTCAAATAATAGCTTTTCGTGCAAATCACAGGACACCACGGATGCAGCTGTGCTCTCAGCAAGGTACGCCGATATTCGGACGCGATCGATCGACTCTCTCTCTCTCTCTCTCTCTCTCTCTCTCTCTCTCTCTCTCTCTCTCTCTCTCTCTC